ATATATATATATGTTATTATACTTTTATTTTTTATGCAGGTCCAGATAACAAACGATAAATAATATTTAAAACTATTACAAATGTGTGTGAGATTTAAAGACATTTTGCCATTTTGTGACTTTTGGCACACGTTAGCCAACCTGTAAATAGATAATAATATAATAACGCACACACTCAACATAGTCCCGCACTAGGGAAACCCTGTGTCGCGGGTGCCATGGACACACACATAGACAACCACAAATTACACCCAAACTCACGAGAGAAATAAATGTAGGTCATGCAAATATTTCGCCCGGCCCGGGAATCGCTGGGACCTCTGCGTGGCAGTCCGGCATGGTAACCGTTCGGCCACGGAGGCAGTTATAGTTGTAAATAGATAGCAGGGATAACCTTATAGAGATTACATTGTGGGTTGCCATGATCATAAATGAAAAAATGTTGTGAATCACGACAGTCATCATTATTATACACACAGTTAATCGATATGTTACGCAGCTCTTGTTTGTTTCATAGCGCTACTAGTGGCAAAATCCGGAAGTACAGAGAGGCGCGCGGAGTTGTGAATTGGTCACACATTGGAAGACACTTACCGCTATTACTTAGGCATTTGAGTTTCACTTTTGTTTATCCATTTTCTATTCCGCCTGAGCGTCAATTAGCCGTTTTAGTTTTATAATCCATTCGATAATTTAAGGTTCTTTTTAGCTTAAGTTGCTAGCTATACGGTGTCACACGAGTATACGACACGGAGGGAAAATTCTTCAAATATTGATAGGACATTTTGTTCATGGATAATAAAATTATTATACCTAGCATTATCTTCAGCTAAGCAGGTTATATAAGATCTAGTCAACAAATAAGGAAAAGAAAGGAAATCCAAAACATATATATTTTATTGCTTTCTCATTTTTTTCACAGACCTGAGATTTCTTTCCGCACTCTTAAAATTTGGATTTATTTTTAAAGCATTTTTGTACATATTTTCAGCCAGGTCGTACTTCTTCCACCGGTGGTACAAAACACCTGTCATAAAAATTAGAAGCATTAATATTAAAAGAAATATGTCACTAAGGCCACAAATTCGCAATTGCGGGGCGTTCGGTGGAACTTTCAAGGTTCGCATTGAGCGTGGTCTGTCACGTATCGCGTGCACGCATCTCGTTATCGCTGGAGCAGGGCGAGAGCATTGACCAATCAGAGTCGGCCGCTCAAGGACAAGCATCTTCGCAGGGACGATATAAATATTGTTCTATTATTTTGTTTGAATTAACTAATGCAACCCTATTTTTCACTATAATTACAAAATGTATTAATTTAAATACATACCTTATTTTTAGTTTACCAAAGTATTTGCATTCTAAATCACGCTATATACGTTTTGCAAATATTTTATTTCAAACAAAATACGGGATTTAGATCCGAAAAAATAGTTTCATTGTGTAAATAATCAACAAGAACACGACAAGTTAAACAAGGAGTTTCTCTTACAGAGCTTGAATTCCTTACCCAAATTAGCGAAATGTATAGCTTGTACTCTGTTTCCAAATAATTTTATAGCTTTTCTAAAATGTTTTTCAGCTTCTTTGTATCGCTCTAACTTCCCGTAAATGTTTGCAACAGCGAAATTAATTGACGGCGAATCAGGCAGTTCATTTAGAACTACTGGAATTACTTCTTGAGCTTTTTCTAGGTGACCTGAAAATAAAGTTATGATTCAGTTACAGTGCATCAAACTTTTCGTTTGTAGTTTGGCTGGTTCCTTTTTTCATGACCTAAGAAATTGCTTCATCATAACCTAATCAGGGTGCGAAGTCATTATCATTGATAATTATCAGAATAATCGTCACGGTAATTATCTTGATAAATATACCTGGTGATAATATTGCCTTAAATACATTGATATTTTGGTGAAATTACAGGCACATGGGACTTGACAATTTCTGTTTCAGGGTGATGACGGGCGCGGTGGAGTGCTCCTCAGATCTTTGCGATTTAATGCTCTAAGAGGCACTGCAACTGTTATGGACAGGCGTATTGTTTACCATTGTTCATCCCGTCATTTGATATTAAAAAAAATTAAAAATATCCTTACTATCTCTCGGCAATATTCGTGTCTCGGCCGTCTTCTGATTTCTATCAGTTGACGTTTGTACAGGGCGGAGACCATAGTAAAAGTAGTAGTAAATAAATGTAGGTCATACACATATTTCTCCCGGCCTGAGAATCGAACCCAGGACCTCTGCGTGGCAGTCCAGCGTGGTAAACGTTCGGCCACGGAGACAGTTTTAATTAATAACCAGAAAAAGACTAAGATTGAGTTTTAGTTATATAAACGAAGAATACAAGAACTTGTTGGGTATATTATAATATATTTTTTATAAAAGGGAAATAGTTTTACAGCTCTACATAGGTAGTTCACGTGGAAATCAAAATAAAACGACAAAAGAGTAAGTTGTTCTGAATTCAAATTATAAACACGATAAAATCATCGATAATTATAATTAGTGGATGTGCAATTCCGGTACATTCGTAAATCCGAAGATTGTCGAGAGACATTAGGAAAATAATAATAATAACATAAAGACATAACCATCTCAGACCTGCAGTAGCACACATATAAATTGATACAGTAACATTGATACAAACAAATTTTCTTAACTCACCTGAATTGTCCAATAATGCCAATAAATTGGTCCAAGCTAGTACATGCGATGAGTTCAGATTGATCGCTTGAAACCAACTTTCCATTGCGTCCTTTGTCATGTTCATTTCTAAATACTGAAAAAAAAAATTGTAGTTTATAAGAGACATACTCGTATAATAACCATACGATGTCCCGTCGCTGTGTAAAAGATCTAGGACACGTTATGACACTTTGGAATTAAAGTTTAACTCTATGTCGCTTGTGTTAAGAACGTCCAAAATCTAAAGCGATGATTCCGTAAGCGGTCTATGTCGATCAACAACGGATCAGCGAAAAATAAGGCTATCTGCGTAAAAATGGTGTAACCCACATTTAATTTTTTTTTCTACAATATTACTTTAAATGACAATAAAGTAAATGTATTACTTTAAATTGGGATGCTATTTTCATGTATAAAAAAAATTACAATTTAATTTAATTTTTGTACTTGAGACGTTAATGATGAATTCCACGGGAGTGGAATACATTTACGCAGATGGCGATCAAAATTTTAACTTTCCCTCAATGGAATAATTTAATTTTAGTAGCAGTAGAGCTCCTTGTGAAATAGTCAGTCCAAGGTAGTACTGCCACCTTACCTATTTCTGCCGCCAAGCAGTAATGTCAGCATTACTGTGTTCCGGTTTTGAAGGGTGCTGGTGAAATTACAGGCACATGGGACTTGTCAACTTATGTCTCAGGGTGACGGGCGCAGTGGTAGTACCCTCAGAACTTAACAATTTAAAGCTCTGAGTGGTACTGTAACTGTTATGGACAGGCGTGTAGCTTACCATCAGGCGCACGACTTGTTCGTCCCGTCACTTGATATTATAAAAAAATCCACACAATACCTTCTTATAATAGACATATAAATTACATAATAATATGAAGAGGAATTCACAACCAACCAGATATTCAATTGGATAAATATATAGAACTTAAAATGGGTTTGTTTTTCTTTTTATAAAGTTTCTCATTATACAGGAAGGGCGCCTTCTAATTAGACGCTTATAGTAGTATTCAGTCCATATATACTCCGCTAGTAATGTTCATACAATATTTAGAAGCGCAGTTGCAGTTCTGTTGTGACACGTGAGCGCCATTTTTGCAAAAATGGCGTGCATCACAGACGTGCGGCTGGCGCGCCTATGTCGTGCCACTGCAGCACTTCTACAAGCATTTAATTTGAAGGAACCTTTAACCTTATCAAAGTGAGTAGCAGTGTGTCAGCTGCCAAAAATACATTTGAACTTAATGAATTTATAAAATAGTCTAGGTCTACGTAAACCAGAAAAAATGGCACATAGTCTACGAGACAAAAAAGTTTGGGAATCTCTGGCTCAAAGCTTACAAAGTATTTACTGATATATTTTGTTCCCTTTTTACCAAGTTTCCTAAATTGTATAAGCAGTCGGGATATTTCTTGCGATATTCCATGGCAGTTTTATAGGCGTCTAAGGCTTCGTCGTAGCGTCTGACATTAGCCAAAACTATTCCTAGGTTCATCCATGCCGCTGGAAAATCTCTTCTGAAAGAAAGATTAAAAATGGTTTTTTTTTATGATACCTTGTGACGGGATGAACAAGTCGTGCACCTGGTGGTGCACGCAAGTGACGCGCCTCCCCATAACAGCTGCAGTACCACTCAGTGTTTTAAATTACAATGATCTAAGGAACACTGTCCCTGCGCCCCTTACCCTAAGACAACTTGATAAGTCCCATTGTAATTTCACCATCACCCTTAACCCTTCAAAATCGGAACGTAGTAATGCTCATGTTACTGCTTGGCGGTAGAAATAGGCAAGGTAGAAGTACTTCCCTGGACGAACTCTTTCACAAGGAGCTTTACTCCTACGGAACTACTGGTTTTCTGTACACTGTTACAATATTGGTGTGTCTAAAACCTATTTTATTTTTTATTTTTATATATTTTGGTTTTCCTGTCGATGGCAACTGATTTATTATTATCTTGAAGTTGACATTCTTATATTTTTTAAGTAATTAATAATTAAAAAAAGAACAGAATACTTCATTGTGCAGGGTCAAAACCACACCAAGCTTGATACTTAGGTATTAAGATTTAAATTTACTATACGGCATATGTACGGTACGGTACTAAGCGGTATCGCTTGCGATAAAACCGGTCCAAAGCTAAAAAAGCTTATTGTGCTTTGGATTGTACGAATTCACGACTTAATGATTCAAGAAAAATTAAATTATTTTATTCAATTCAAGTACATACTTCAAGGAGTATTGAGGAATATATAAAAAAAATAAATAATTTACAATATACATACATAGATCAGCTGCATAAAATAGGATTTTATGCTCTAGTGCATAAAATAAAAAAAAACCATTACTTTAAATAGGTATGTCTAATTGTGGTAATTTCACATTCAATTTTAAGTACAAAATCGTTTATTTGCAATATTGCTGTTTAATTTCCTCGCAATCGAAGTGAAAAGCAGAGTGTATAACTCGATCATAAAACCCATTTTACCCTCGACTTAAGTATCCACTACACTTAAGGGTATACTCGTCTCGGTTAAAGTGACGTTTTATGCATTGGTTGTACAATCTACTATTATTATCTCCCTACAAGTACAAAATATAAGCATATGATCGAACAAAGGGCTTAGAATATAAACATAGAACATAGAGTCCAAACTAGCAATACACTAAGTAAGTAACAAAAATATAGCCAAAATAAAAAGTAGTAGCTACTGTATATACTTTCAGGTCTATTGAGTACGTCAGCACCCGTAGTTTGACAGGATATCCACATTTAGCTAACAAAATCGAGTGATAAAACCGCTTATTTTAAAATTTAATCACAATAGCTAACACGGCGAGCACTGTGACGTCAAATTTTTGACGCATCGCCAGCGCCGCGACCAATGGCTGCAAAAGAATACAGCAGTGCCAAACCTGGCCGCAAGGTCACAGGTGATTTTAAAACATTTGGACAGTTCTGCTCAGTAATTTTATCAAAGTAAAAATTGAGCGCGATAAACGAGATAAAAAGAAATAATAAAAACCAACAAATTGATATATATATAAATTATTGGAAAAAGGTGAGAAGAACATTTTTAATACAGGTCAACACACGAGAGTAATTACTAATTACAAACATGTCACTAATAATTAATATAATGCAAATTACGTAAAAACTGAAACTACAAAAACCCGGCGATGATAAAACGACAATGATAGCTGCTAGCTGCTAAATGTATAACATCAGGTGGAATGGAGTCATCTGCCTGTCATGTATAAAATAAAAAATAAATAAATAAACAATAGTTCATTACCAAATAAACAAAGAACGAATGACTCTAGTGCGGTATCTTACAAATTCAGTATTTGCAATTAAAAAAATAAATTTAAATAATGGCAACATAATTGCAACTGTTCTGGACAGGACTCCTGTCACTTGATATTATGAATAAAACATAGTTTTATCAACCGAAATACATGTCACGAGGAGGTTTATCACATATTGCATGTGATATACTGCCATGCTACGCCCACTGGTTTATACTAAGTGCAAAGGGCCCTAATAGAAATCCATCGACAGCCGAAACTTGAAGATTGCTATAGATATTCTAAGGACATATAAATAGTTGTACTGTTTGTTCTCTGTTACTTACTTAAGTCGTACAGCACTTTTGAGGTAGTCTTCAGCTTCGGTGTACTGTTTTTGATTTTTTAACAGATTAGCTATATTGTTCATGGCTTGGTAGTAATTTGGATTCAGTCTGAAAATGAAATTGAATTTAGAATGTTTTGTGTTATAACTTACTTTTGCCAAATTGCGTAATAATCATAGATATACAAAAAAAGGGGTAATAATCCGTGTAAGTCGTTATTAGACCAATAAAATGAATAATGCAATTCTATTAAAAGAAAATTATCGCGAGACTCAGACATATTAAGTACAACTAGGGGATAACTCCAGTATTTAAATCGAATTTTTGTTCGAACCAGCCTGTGGTCGTTTTCGCCGAGTCACCGCCGCGGAATCTCGTGTTTGAGGACCACGTACTGGTTTTTTTTATGCTATCTAGTGACGAGACGAACAAGTCATGCACCTGATGGTAAGCTACACGCCTGACATTACTACTTGGCGGCAGAATTTGGTAAGGCGGCAGAATTAGGTAAGGTGGCAATACTAACTTGGACGAACTCTTTCACAGGGAGCTCTACTGCTACTGGTTCGAAACACGTCGGGCAAAAATCCATGAGCTTTAAGGTGAAGTGAGGCCCAAAGTAGACGTTATGACGTATTTCAACCACACGAAAAATAGGTATTTTGACGTTAAAAATACGAATTCAACTTGTTTTTCACATTGATAATGAAAACAAAAGATACCGGTAATGAGCTATGGGGTCCGAAACATGATTGATTAAACTTCGCTCGATGACAAAATAGTTACGCAAAATTTTAATTTCTACTACGAAAAATGATTCTTATTTGATTGTTATAAGAGATATTTCAATGAAATTTTCTATGTCGTGTTTCGTAATAAATTATTTTGCAGTCAGAGAGCACATTTTGTTTCTAAAAGGCAAATTTTTAAATATCGTGTAACGAATTTCTCCGCGTTTACCTCATACGCTTCAAAAGTTTCGCAATCACGAAACCATTTTATCTTAAAAGAAGTGGGTAAATATACGTAGCTACTTTATAAACTTTCGGCGTGTTGATTGTTTGTATGGACATTCGATAAAGTTCTTTCCCTGAGAATGAAGTTAAAAAATTTATTTTCGTACCTTGTTATAATGATGATTTTGTGGTAAAATGAACTAGCTTTTAAGCATTCCGTAATGCGATGGATCAAAGTTGAAAATAGCATTATTGAGTATTGTTTTTCATTAGATTACAATGTGTGTACCTTATAGCTGCCTTATATTCTTCCATAGCCCACTCAGTGTTATGGCTAGCGTCGGCCACTTTGGCAACGTTGTACCGCACTTTAGCGTTCAGTGGACAAACAGCCATACCACTAATATATAGTCGATACTCATTTTGCCAGTCTATAGATCTCTTCCAGCTTTTGACTCCGTATGTTATAATTAGTAAAGAGAATAGCAAGATATACAGCTGAAATTAAATTATCCACACGTTAGGTATGCATGTTAATGATAAGATTATAACTAGGTGGAATGTCGATTCCCTAGTTTTGTTTTTTTATTATATATTTTTTTCAACATTTGCGAGCGCAAAATTCTATAATTTAATACTTGTTACATAGAGTTAATATGGTGACCTTTGACCTTAAAGAATTACAGATCGAAATTCAAAATTTGGGCTTTGGTACATGTAGAATTGTATTTTTATGCAATTTCGTGCATATCGATTGAGGAACGGTCGTGTGATTCTGTTCGTGGATTGTGCAGTTTCAATTTATTTCATTGACAAAAAAGCTTCGCTCGCTGTGCTTTGATAAAATGTTAGTTAAACTTTTATAGTTTTAATATGTGCCATAATGTAAAATGTTTAATATCATGAATATCTGAAACCAAAGCAACCTTATCGCAATGAATTTAAGCTGCACTTGTTGCTCTGTAGTTAGTGTGCGCCCAATTGAAGAACGAACTTTAATTTTGATTAAGACCAAAATTAAAAGTTCGTTTCGAACTCGGATTCAAAACTCTAAGGAGTTTTAAATACGTCCCCTGAAGTTAATGTATGTACTTTTTCTGGTAAGTATTTGGTATGATTTTATGGCGTATTGTGTATACAGATAATAAATAAAATGTGCAAACCTTATACCTCTGCCTTTTCTCCGAAGTTAATATTTTTTTAAAACCAATAGCAAAAAGAAGGCAGTATCCTGCAGAAGGTATGTAAAGTACTCTTTCGGCGATGACAAAGCCCACTGTGTACAAAATGTTGGCCGCTGGTAGAAATGGAATTATTGTGAGGGACACTGTCACAATTAGTAGTCTGAAATATCAAATAACGTTGAAACACAACGGCGGCGGCGCATTTACAATAGGTCGAAAGGTGGCCTTGGCTTGCTCGCCGAAAGCGGCACCTATCCAATGTTAACACTGAGTCGTTTGATGACGGTAATTCGCTGTCGAAATCGACCGAGTCGACTAGATGTAAACAAGCAGCACTCGACCAAACTAGTTATAACGTATCGGCAGCCGAGGAATGCCTACCTACCCGATGAGTGTTGAAATTTCGAACGATTTGTTGTGTCTTCTTCTTCAGCCAAATTCGCTTGCCGAATAGGCGGTAGTTGATTCAGTGTAAACAGTCAGTCCAGTGCGCCTCGTTCGATAAGGCGAGGTGGTCTAATGAAGGCAGGAGTATGTAGTTTCGCCATAAGAGGTTCCGCTATATTTTTTAAGGTTGAAATAGTGGTGCTATTTAGCATTGAATTATGACGCCTGCATTATAATGTCAACAGAATAATAGCTCAAAACAACTTCCAATCAATTGTGCAGGTCGGTATCCTTGCATTTAAAATATTGCTTGAATATACACCACGCGCACGCACGCACACTGCACTGCGTGTATATATGTATGTATATGTAACAACTGAAACTATTGTCTAATCAAAGTTAGTATATGTACAGCCAAGAGCAGATCAAGCTTGACACTTTGTACTTTGGAGCGTTCTTATCGTAAGCGACATAGAGTTGGATTTAAGTCTTAAGTGTCAAGCTTGACGTGCTCTTGCCCCGTACCAAAATCAAGAAGAACAGTACCTTTTAGTAGAAATGTTCCAACTATTTTGTATTATAACTCTTACAACCAATACTCCATACAAATAAATAGCCCATATGCACAATATCCTGAAGTCCAGGGTACTGTGTATGAGTGGAACGCATCCCATTGACCAATCGTAGCATAACCATTGAGGCCAGATCACTAAAAGGGCATTTAGAAAGTAGATGTAGTTATATGTTGCTAACTGGAAATAAATAAGTTAATTAATTATAATGTGTATGACTATCGGATCTAAATCGCGTATATTTGTTTTTTCAAACAAACCTACGTTCATGACCCTTTCCACATACCATGGTCACCGCTGACTCTGGGAGATGGATCATGGTTAGCCATGACCATGGGACCTGAAGGGTCCGAAACGTTGGTTTGTTTGAAAAAATAAAACAAACGCGATCTATATCCAAAAAATATAGTTTCCTACGTGTACATCATCTGCTTAAAAGTAAAACGACATAAATGACATTTTTCACTAAAAACCTCTAAATTACATGCCTGTGCTGGTAATACTGCCTCCGTGGCCGAACGGTTACCACGCCGGACTGCCACGCAGAGGTCCCAGGTTCGATTCCCGGGCCGGGAGAAATATTTGTATGACCTACATTTATTTCTCTCGTGAGTTTGGGTGTAATTTGTGGTTGTGTATGTGTGTGTCCATGGCACCCGCGACACAGGGTTTCCCTAGTGCGGGGTTATGTTGAGTGTGTGCGTTATTATTATTATTATTATTATTATTATTACTGATTTTAGAGCTTTTTTTATAATTAATAGGTTTTTGTTGTTTGGCTTTACCTTCAGAAAGATCCTGATTTTCTTGCCATAGCTATACAACTTTGTGGAATATGTCACTTATGTGGTTCAACCTTTAAGTAGACAATATATGACTAAGTAGAAATATACTCGATAAAATCCAATTAAATAGAAACCACAAAACGAACAATCAGAAAAACAAGTTAAATAATGTGTCAAAAAATGTGTTACCACTTTTTTAGGCTACTGCTTTATTGGGGTCAGAGCTGTGTTTGATGAGTAGGTTGCATAAAGTAAACAAAGAGAAAGATATACCACATTTTGAAGAGATTACTGTTTGATGTAAATTTTACCTTTGTGAAAAGATTGTCCGAGAAAGCAGCTGGATTATCAATGGCTTTAAATGCAGGTGTATGTCTACCCATGACTGTCCATCTTCCATACAACAGCACTATTATGCCTAATGAAGTTAATGAGAGTCTAATAATCACCTTTATGTTAAAATTAAGATGACCCTTTGTTAACTGTTTTGTCTTAATATTTTTGGTGATTACTATGTCGTATATTATGCAGAAGCCCTGAAATGGTATGTAAATATAAATTTTATATGGTAATATACATAAACATAAATGAAATAACAGGATGTTTCATTGTTGTCGTATGTAAAATAAAATTACTTTGGACCTTAAAATGGTAGTGTTAGCAATTACAACTATCTATGTTACAATATGCTTGCATTCAGTTTCGATCGGTCAAGTTTTAGAAATATTCAAATTTTAATTTTGGTGTTTTTTTTTTAATTAATTTTATTCATTTTGGTACCTACTAATTTATTTTATTAATTTACTTTGTTATATTTTGCCAGAAATATTACTACTTTTAGATTTGAAAACTCAGATTGGATTCTGAAAGTGACATATTTGAGAAAATAAAGGTAAAATAGATTTTTAATACGATGTTTATTACTATCAAACTATTTCAAAGTCTACATGCTCTGTGGTCACCTGTATGTCAAGGTGATTTTTATCATCGTACACATACATATGTATAGAGGCAGGAAGGGGTAAATGATCATGACTAACATGCTAAATGGTACTTAGTATACTATAGATTATTGCTGTTGAAAATATTAAAATTTATAAGTACTAGTTACTTACCAAAACTGTAATTCCATTTTCTTTAAAAAGCATAGAAATTCCTGCCAGTAGTATAGCTGTACTTACATAGAAATACGAGATCATAAATTTACAATTTCTCATAGATTTGCTATAAAAAATAAATGCTAAGAAGAATGTACAGCAAGCCAGTATGTCTGCTCGACCTACAATACCAGAAACAGCTTCTACATGTACTGGATGTACTGCAAATAGCGTTGCCGCCGTATAAGCAATATCTATACACGATGTAATTGATTTCTCAAATCCTACGTCATTTAGAATGACTATAAAACTGTTATACACAATTAAACAGCATAAGGTGTGGCTTATAAGATTTGTAACTTTAAAATGCACAGCTGAAAGTTGATTATTGTTTAACCAATAGTTTATCCTGAAATAAAATTATAGCTTTATTAATAAAAAAAATGCTTTTCATTAATAATTTTAAATAGATATAGGAATGTTACCTGAATGATATAATGGTAAGTGGTCGGTACGATTTATGGCTCAAATTGCTTTTTATATCCGTACCCCAAAAGTCATTGTTAAAAGCATCCATCCAGGACTCAGATACTACATCTTTATTCTTTATTATTGCCTCAGAATCGTCAAAAACAAAGTCTCCGTGAAGAGTAAACATAAATGGTAAACTAGACGCCAATACAAGGCAAATCAATTTGTACACCATTTTTATTAAATAACTTTTTAGACTTTTAATGGTTTATCTATTAGAGACTTAAATTCTTAGCAACAAATCTATAATTTCTTTAAAAAATTCTCTGTTATGCTATGTTTGAGGTTATGCTTGTTGACAAAAGTTTGACAAGTCAAAGCTCCATTCGTTTCATTTAAATTTTCAAAATGAAGGCAGTAAGTTCAAACCTTAGAGGATGGAAAAAAATAGTTCAAACGGCAATTATACAATCTGTGTCGGTGCAGTAATAAAAAAGGCGTTAAGTTTACGTAAGGCGTTCACATAATTATTATGGTCAATTTTACCAACAAAAATACCCTATTTGAGGGTCACTTACTACTAATCCCTTTCAAAATACAGCTATATTAACTTTTTATTAACAAAAATTACCCTTCCCTATATACTACAGCTGTGACACAAATTCAAAGTTGCACACAGACGAAATTTTGGAATCAGCTTAGAAAATAGAACTTAACATAATACTTTTTGTGCCAATAAGATAAACATTTTTTTGAATATTGCAAGTTTTACAAAAATACTGTGAATACAAGGCTATAAGATGTATAAGATACTTATTTTTTGCGTGTTCGTATTTGAGCAGTTCTACCAATCGATGATTCGGTCGTATTTAGGATACCTACTTGAATGAAAAGAGCCTTGCGCAATCATATCCATCAGGCCAAACATATCCGGTCGTCTCAGATCCATTATGTGTAGCAGAACACTTTTAGGATGGACGACTCATTATAATTTCAGTTCAGCAAATATTTAGTAGATTCTTTTGGCTACAGGACAAAATACCAGGAGTTTTAAATACCTATGTAAATAAAGAGGTAAAGGAATAAATTAAAAAAAATTAAAAATACAGTTTATTACTAAGGTAATATTCTTAATGTGACATAGTTGTTACAGTGAAGTTTGTGGTAAGAGGTTGCAGTGTGTGTTTGATGTCGAGCGCCGTGCGCGGATCGCGCAAGGCAGCCGCCGCGTGTGCAAGTTGCAGTGCACAGTCGGGTGGCGCAGACGCTGGCAGTGCGGCGCATTCTCGCTCCAAAGCACTGCCCACACATGTTAACAACTCTGAGAACCCGAGAGAGATTGCTGCGCGACGTAACCGGTTCAGTTCCTGTAAGAAGTACTAAATAATGTAATGTGGTACAGTACCTTTTTTAATAAAGCAATCTTCCATAGGTACAAATTATCGAACATGAGGCAACGCGGAGGCAAAAAAAAGCGTAAATGTAATCCAAGGAATAGGACTAGATGAAGATCGCAGTGCGGCTGTTTATCCTAAAAGGAATATAGAAAAAAGGAAGACCTTGTAGAGATGCTGTGTCTTGTCGGGCAGCTTACGCGCATGCCGCAACACCTTCTGTACGTCGGCGAGTAACGCATGCGGCCTTGCCCAAGCACTCCCCGCACTTCCACCACTGCCTCCGCTGCTGTACGATACCCACGTACGTACCGGGACTGTCTCAGCTGCGAGTGGAAAATTTATTATACATACCACTTGTTGGCAATTCTGCCCTCAGAACGAAAAGAGGCTCAACTGCTGTACAATGTACGCATAGTTGTGGCTTTTTTCGTTACGAGGGCAGCATTAATGATTATGTTAGACATGTTCGCCGATATAAAAATGTTTAGATCAATATTAGAGGACGCTTTAATTATGTATACCTATCGTGGCGACAATCCAATTTTTAATTAAGAGTTTTGGCTTGGATACATGTCCTTTGAGCCATGTCTTCGTTTAATTATCGGGATTCTCATTAAATATTTTCTATTGTGGGTCTAAAACATTGTTTTCTCTTTCTGTAAAAAAAATTAATTCTCTTGTTTGGGCTTTCTAAATAGTCTTTTAAGCGGCGGGAATCAATATTTATTTTTCACTTTCACTTATATCACATTATTGCCACTAAACTTTGAATTCGTAATTATTGGAATTTGCAGCATGAACTCCTTCGTAATTTGGTTTAAAATAAGGAATATAGTTCTAACTTTCATCATCACCATTTCGTATATTTCGTATTTTCTTCATAATATACTTAAAATAAAATTAATCTTTGTAAAAACTGTACTTGTAACTTCAAAAGTCCGCCCTTATTCGGCGACAGTCCAAACGTAACTCAGCCGTAAGTTGATGTGATGTCCGTTTTGAAGTATTTAAACCACACGGAAAATAGGTTTTTCAACATTCGTATTCGTATCATTTACGAATATAACTCGTTTTTTTTCATTGATAATGAAAACAGAATATTTCGATAGCGAAATATGGGTCCGGAAAGACGATTGACTTAAATTTCGCCTGACAAAAGAAATCACAAACTTCAAGTTCTATAAAATTTTCATTTTTTACTACGTTCATATACGTAAAAATCAATTTCATTCGATTGTTATTAGAGATATTACAATGGAATTTTCTCTCCCGTGTTCCGTAATAAATACGTCAGGTGTCTATGAGCTTATTTTACAGTTTGACAGTATATTTTATTTCTAAAAGGCAAATATTTAAATATCGTGGGATGAATTTCTTTCGTCTCAAATCCTACGCAACCACGATACCATTTAGCCTTAATAACGTGGAACATACTTGCAGTGCTTCCATCCTCAATAGGGCCGAGTTGGTCGAGCGGGCCGAGCCAAGGCGCCGCCGAGATCCCAGGCCGCAGTATGCTCAGTAATAGGCATGAGCGACGGGCTCTAGATGCCTCGCACCAAGCTGATAGTGTGCCCCACCAATCAGAACCTAGTTGGACTATCGCAGACATACCTTCCACCTGTAAGATTTTTTATAAATGTGTTAAATAAAACGAAAGCTAGAAACTAATAGCTTTTTATATTTTAAAAGCACTGCTACATAGGGCGCACTATAAGTTTCCGGAACTGGCCACTTACATAAACAATATTTAAAAAGTAATACAACATTTGAAAATGGAACCCTTTGGCTGTAGAATACAGTTTGTTTCATCTGATTGTCACTTGTTTTTACATTGTGACGTCATTTTAGAAATTGGTTGTCTACATCACCATGGATTTAACTCGTGAAAATTTTCGTAGTATGATTTTCTACGACTTTAAATGTAATTTAACAGCTTAGCGGAGCTTCGCTCGGGTTCAAACTTCATTTGGCGATGAAGCACCATGCAAGACGACTATTTATAGTCGTGTGAATCTCAGTGACGAATTTCGCGATAATCGCCCGTCCACTACTGTGAACAACAAAAACATCGATGCTGTGCGCCGTATGATCAAAACAGACAGGCATGTGGTATAACCACGAGATTCGGGCATCTTTAGGCATAGGCATGAATCAAATACAATCAATACTACACAAACATTTGGGTGTGAAAAAGCTGTGCTTTCGGTGGATCTCACACAATTTGACTGAAGCTAAAAAACGGATCGCGTCACTTGGTGCAACGCCATGCTTACCAGATTCAACGACGGGCCGTCAAATTCGGTGTGGGACATAGTAACAGGTGACGAAACATGGATTTATAGTTACGATCCCAAAACAAAGCAGCAATCGAGCGTATGGGTCTTTCGAGATGAGCCGAAACTAACCAAAGTGGCGCGCGTGCAAAGTGCCTGTAAGCAGATGATGGCTTCTTTTTTTAATAAAACTGGACACGTGGCTACTGTTGCTTTGGAGAATCGTTACACCGTTAATAGTAATTGGTACACGACCATTTGTTTGCCGAAAGTTAATGACAAACTCCGTGAAAATAACGGTAAATGCCGTATCATCTTGCACCGCAAATGCCAGTTCTCACACGGCCAGACAGACACATGAATTTTTAAAGGTGAACAACGTTGACCTTATGAGCCATACCGCGTACAGTCCCGACCTGGCACCTTGTGACTTTTATTTATTTCCAAAAAATAAGATCCAGTTACGCGGTCAACCATTTTCATCACCTGAAGAGGCTGTCGAAGATTATGAAAAATATGTTTCATACGGAAGAGTGGCATAAATGTTTTCAAAATTGGTCCATTCGTATGAAAAATTGCGTTAACGCTAACGGCGAATATTTTAAGAAAAATAAATTCATTTTTGACCATTTATAGTATTTTTTTCTTATTCATTCTGGAAATTTGTAGTGCGCCCCAGTGTAGTGTGTCCAGTTTTATTAAAAAAAGAATAGGTTTCGGCTCATCTAGAAAGACCCATACGCACGATTGCTGCTTTGTTTTGGGATAAAACTAATAAATCCATGTTTCGTCACTTGTTACTATGTCCCACACCAAATTTGACGTCCCTTCGTTGAATCTGGTAAGTATGGTATTGCACCAAGTGACGCGATCCGTTTTTTGAGGCTCAGTCAAATTGTGTGGGATCCACCGAGAGCACAGCTTTTTCTACACCCAAATGTTTGTGTAGTATTTATTGTATTTGACTCATGCCTACGCCTAAAGATGCCCGAATCTCGTGATATGTCACATGCCTGTTTGTTTTGATCATTTGGCGCACAGCACACAGCATCGATGTTTTTGTTGTTCACAGCAGTGGACGATCATCACGAAATTCGTCACTGAGATTCACACGACCGCGTTTTAATTCTGCAAACCGGCTATAAATAGTCGTCTTGCATGGTGCTTCATCGCCAAAAGCAGTTTTAAGCCGAGCGAAGCTCCGCTGAGCTGTTAAATTGCACTTAAAGTCGTAGAAAATCATACTATGAAAATATTCATGAGTTAAATCCATGGTGATGTAGACAACCAATTTCTAAAATAACGCCACAATGTAAAAACAAGTGACAATCAGATGAAACAAACTGTATTCTACAGCCAAAGAGTTCCATTTTCAAATGTTGTATTACTTTTTAAATATTGTTTATGTAAGTGGCCAGTTTCGGTAACTCATAGTGCGCCCTATGTATCTACGATCAGTTGTGAGTGCGTATTTTGGCGTTCAAAAGCGCGGAATTTAGCCTTCTTACTCAACGAATACATCACCTGTGTATGATGTTGACACTATCATAACATAACAGATTAATTAAGTGCTGTAGTAGATTTTAAATTCAATTTTTACTGAGGAATCGATTACCATCAAGACTTCAATTTATTGAAATAAGCAGGATGATGAGAGAGTTTGTATATTAAAGTATGTATTACCTTCAATGCCCCATGTAGTAAAACACAGAAGTTGGGCACTTTACTGGGATCCGACATGTCCTCTTCTGGAGTCGTTCCATCACTTGTTCCGTCCTGAGAAGAATAGAAAACATTTATTGCAACGCGACTACATAAAAATATCCAAAAAGAATCACCATCCTTTTTAGCCATAGTATATACAGGGTGACTGGTTGAACGAAATAAATATTTAAAGTGGCGAATGAGTAGCTGATACACACCCCGAATATGTAAAAATATCGCCCCAAAACATTATAAAAAAAATATATCGTACCATTTTACAAATGCTAATACTCTGTTCGTTTGAGCTACTCTACGAACAGCTGATTGTTAGGAAAATGAACCGCCCGTCGCCGCGCCGCGCCCCGCGCTACGAGCGCGTGTCAAGCCTCTCTCGCTTAAAATGTTTTAAAAATAATTCCATTTTCCCTTCATACTTTGATTTTGGCTTAGGACAGGCAAAAATACCAATTAAACTACGATAAATTATTTTTTAAAGTACACAATATTTTAGGCAGTTGTAAAACACAAACTAAGCTAGTAGGTATGAGCATGGTTTGGTATTTTTGGCGTATTTAAAAAATGGAATCATACCTGTTTACAATAATTAATTTTGATTAAATTTACAAATTTACAGCAATCTTAACAATGTACGGGTGAAGACCGTCTCTGTGTAAGAGTTTCCACACTGTCCATTGTGACACTCCGAATCGTCTTGCTGCATTTCGAGTACTCCGGCGTGGGTCATGCTCAAAGTATTCAAAAATCGCTTCTTGTAGGTCCACTGGATACGGATCCCTTCCTCGCCCTTGAGCATGCCAGGGCACAGTGAACTGCCCAAAAGTCCTCAAACGAAAATTGAGTCCTAACATTAAAGTGTAGGATGGAACTCGCCGATTAGGGAACATTTCACGGTACAGGTCCCTAGCACCACTAACTACATCATTTGCCATAACATAACACCGTATCATGTCCCAATACTCCTCATTTGTGTAGTGATAAGGCATCGTTATGTGTCACTGCACTCCACGGAATTACACAGTTGAATAGACCGATGTATCACGGAAAACAAAGATCGGCGCGGCGGCGGCGGCGCGTGCGTTTAATCGCAAAATCACAACGTCCTGACTTACAGAAGGGCGTAAGCGAACTAACCCGGGCGGACGGCGGGACGCGCGGGCGGGATTGGGGTACCCGGCGCAAGCGGCCTTCAACGAGTAGTGGCGGGGGTGTCTAATGCACATGCGCAGAAGATTTTGTTTTGACGAACGCGGTGTCACGCGCAGAGTAATACAAAATGTTAGAGCCAGTATTTTCTTTAAATAAAAATGTTTAATATTTTTTTTTTACATACTCGTGTTATTTTTACATATTCGGGATGGGTATCAGCAACTCATTCATCTCTTTAAATATTTATTTCGTTCAACCAGTCACCCTGTATAATATGGACCCATTCATACATCTCACTGCTGGGCACGGGTCTCCTCTCGGGCGAGGGTTTAGGTCATAGACCGTCACGCTGGCTCAATGCAGGTTGGGAACTTCACACGTTTTCCTAGGGTTGTGAACCATTTTCGACTTGCAGGTTTCATCACAATGTTTGCCTTCACAGAAAAGCTCAAATTCGGAATTCGAATCGGAATAAATTCCGCAAAACTCAAGAGGTCCAAACCCACGGCCCCTGTTTGAAAGGCGGTAGTGAAACGATTAGGCTACCATGGTTAGCCAAAAAGAAAGAACAAAAAAAATTAGCAAAACAAAAACATTAAGAAAAAAAACATGAACCAAACAATGAGAGGCATTATGTCAGTTTTAGTTGGAAATTGTTTATGTTTTCAGTCCAAAGAAAGACATTTCCATTAATTTTTATGTAGTATTAATAATTATTACAAACTAGTGAAGTAATTTCACAAAAATAATTGAATATCATGGTGGTCAAACATCGTGGCATTCAATAAACTTAAAAATAACAATTATTAAAGCGACATTTCTAGTCAGCTGCTAGTAGCTGAAAAGGTACCTGGCCACTAGAAAAGCTTTCATGGATTTCTCACAAATAACGCTGCGGCAAAAAAGCCGTAAATTAACAAAAATAAAGATTGCCGATAAAGCACATAGAAAAATACGCAAGGTCCGCTAGTTCGTTCCGTGGCTTAGTTGGCATAGCGTCTGCCACGGTTTGTTGAAATTACCATTAATTTAATTTAATTTTTTACATCTAATTTTAAAAGGTCTGAAATATTCGGGCGTTTATGTCGGCCTCGTAATGTATGTATACATATAAATATCTTAGTTTATCTGTGTCTTACTTCTATGAGAGGTATTGCTGCTCATCAGAAAGCAAGAGCTCACATAGGGGTATAGAGCTTCAGCACTCTTCGTCAACGGGTTGCTCAGCAATAAATTTAGCTCTCCTACTTGGCCAATTTCTTTTAATTGATATTGGGCCCGAACCGCATATCGATCACATTACATTAAATGAAAAATGTCTTCCACATTGTTACAGAATTGGCATTGAGAGGATTCTGCTCTTCTCATGAGATAGTAAAATTTATTTATTGGAATGTGACCAGAACGTAGTCTAAGAGCAATTATTAACAGTGACTTTGATAGGCTACCCTCCTCTTAATTCAATTAGATAACATACCTTAGTTGGTGTTTTAGATCCATAATTATCTCTAGACCCCGTGTTGCCCATTTGGGATTGAGGTATCACAAGATGCTTACTTACTGCTATTGGGGTACCTGGTGATCAAAATTTCTTTTTTAATTTCTATCTCTGTAGCGGTCTAAAATCAGGTTAAACAATGCACAGTTTAGCCCATCGGTGCAAAGTCGCCAGTTAGTCGGTTTTCTACAGAATGTACTTCGGTGAGTGTGTCCATGAGCATTAACTCATTCCACCCGCCCCCTTTTACCATCGAACATCTAGGCTTACGACTGATGTCATCTTTGGTCGATATTCACCTCAGTAGAGCTAGCACGACAGGGCACAAGATACTGCTACTCTCGCAGAGATCTCGCGTTTTATGACGCTCTCGCGCAAGTCGCACCTTGCCGTGCTAAGCCTCACTTTTCGGCAGATTACATGCGTCGAGAATATTCGGTGTACTGCCCAAATAAATACTTATCTACCCATAATTGTGGTGAAATCAGTAAGTTGGCAATACTACGCTGCGTCAGGTCTTATAAAATACATAAATCTTTATTTGGACATAATGACCGCAGATAATAACACAGAAGGTTAGTTGTTATTTATAGCCAAGCTTTACGAGCTGTAACTTGCAAATACTTAAAACGATTACATCAAGATTTGGAAATGGGATTCCTGAGCTTGTAATTATTTACCAAGTTCCTGCTGTGTGAGGAAACCAATAATATGCAGTTGTTGAGCAAGAGTGTACGTAGTGGACAAGCCTTCGTGCTGAGCGGGTTGCGGGGCGGGGAACAGCTGCACGCGTGACTCCAGAGTACCGCATTTGAGTGAACACCAGAACTCTTGATAATACTGCTCGCAGAGACGCGTCGTCGCTGTTATTATCTGAACAAAAAATATTTTACAGCAATTCTTAACATTAAAGTGTACAAACTGTCATCTTCTAGGAGAACATAAACCGTTCTTCTTCATTTCTAAATTGTTATAGACGTTAGTTTATCTCTAATTAAAAATATGAGAAATAATTATATTTCTATTAAGGTACTTGTTTTTTTAAATGGCGACTTAACACAGACACCGGTGTAACAAATCAAGACATTTTACCTTCTTATTCTTCTAGGTCAAATCTTCAAAACAGAATAATAAAAGCATACCATGTATAGTTCTGGACAAGTTCCAGAAACATGGAAGCTTGCAAATGTACAGTACCTAGGAAAGGTAATAGTGTAGACCCTACCCTTATTAATGTCGATTTATCGTATGTATCTGTTGAACAACAGACGCTTTGGACACCTCAAAGTCAAAGATCTTCTGTTCTATTACAGCCCTAACTTTATGGACGGCTCTGCCCAATCAGTTAGCTGCCTTGTACTCATAGGAGCGAAAAGAACAGTCACTTAAAAGCAACGATAGAAAACTACAATTTGGGGCTATTCATAGCCATTTTTTTAGATTAACATGTTGCAATGTTGCTCAATTTTAAGTAAGTGTATCTTATTATATAATAAAAAACTTAAATACACTTTTTTTTTTCATTGTAAGTTGAGCTGGATTCGAGATAAATAATGAATAAACAAGAACTTACACCAGGCACAGAAAGTTGATCTGGACAAAAGATGGAACCTCGTGTGATGTTGCCATTTGAACCATTGTTGGTAGGGGTATTAGCTAGATCTACAATCTTTTGGTACAACGGCATAGCTGAAATAGTAAACCATATTATAAGTAAATGTTTATTATAATAATAAACAATTCAATAGGGCTAGCACGACAGGACGCGACTTGCGCGTGAGCGACATAAAGCGTGGGATTTCTATGCGAGAATAGCTGTATCTCGCGCTTTATATCGCTCTCGCGTTAGTCACGACCTGTCGTGCTAACGCTATAGTGGTGTTTAAAAACAAAATTCACTTCATCTTGTGACATCAAACACCAACTGTTAGTCACAACAAATCACTACTTGTATTCACAGCTATCAATGACGACTCGATTAGCATCCACCATTTTCCTCAAGTGTATAGAGCATATACCCTCGCATTGTCTAGTACTTAACTAAGACATATGTCAAGCAAGAGCTAATTAACAAAACTTGAGAATTGTATTTTTTATCTCTATTTACAACTATATATACTAAATTTTATCACATTCCAAAGTTGCTTTACACTAAGACTCAACTCACACTGGCTCAGAGTCGAAGCGTCGCGTCGCGTCCTGTTTTCAACTATACCGCCTGGCATCGCGCGTCGACGCGCGACGTCACTCGCATTAGTGGGCCGGGATCACAGTGGGGTCTGACGCCTTACGGCGCCCAAGAGACGCGCGTCGACGCGTGAAGCCGCTCGAATGCTACCAAGCGTCGATGCGCGTCGACCCTCGATTCCATATTTGCAAAACACAAATTCGTACCTTAATAATGGGAAAATAAAGATGAATATGCTATAGACGACAAACATGACACGTCGCGACGCTTCGACTCCGCGCCAGTGTGAGTTGAGCCTTATACTTTTTGCTCATTTTGTAAGATGCATTGAACTTTTCAGAAAATTAGTGTGACAAGTTTATTGGTAGGTCAATGATGACAAGTAAAAATTAACTAAAACGACCCATGCTTTCATAGTAAATTCATAACTATGGAGGTATTGATATTTTTTGGTAATTTTCTGTTATTTATGTAATCAGCCATATTTATTTACTAATATTATGTTCCCCGCATTTTGTGAAATAAAAGAAACAAGAACAAAATTAGAAAAAAACGAATTTTGTGAAAAGAAAAATAGAGAAACAAAAACCAAAATAACAACAGAACAGGTCCAAAAAAATAAATGGGCGTAGTGTTGATTGGAGGTATTGATATGTGCTAAGGTCATTTTAGTTCTTGTGCACAAGTGTTAATAGCTATGTCACCCTCTAAATTTATGACACTTACCTTGTTGTAGGCAAGGATCATGTGGTGATACAACTGGGAGAATGTGTATTTTAACAGGGTATGAAGCAGGCAAAGGCAGTGCCTGTATGATGCGGTTTCTACCAATAGCACCTACACCACAGCTGCCATCTGTAATCTGTGTAAAAAGTCCTAAGTGTCAGACATAATGTGATCTTCACTGTGCCCTTTCAGGTCTAGTCTGTACTTTACCTTTGGCTTTTAAATACTTCTAAATAAATAATATCGATAAATTGCTTATTATTGCTACATTCTTTTACAAGTATTTAAATGCCAAAGGTAAAGTACAGACTATACCTGAAATGGTACAGTAAAGATCACATCATGTCTGACACTTTGTACTTGACCATTTTTTGTAGTAGTACAGCTCCTTGTGAAAGAGTTTGTCCAGGGAGATACTGCTACCTTACCTATTTCTATAGCCAAGTAGTAATGTGAACATTACTGTGCTCTGGTTTTGAGAGGTAAGGGTGCTGGTGAAATTACTCGCACATGGGATTTGTTAACTGATGTCTCAGGGTGCAGGGTGCAGTGGCAGTGTCACTCACAGCTTTAGTTCGCAAAGATCTAAGGGGCACTGCCACTGCGCCCTTCACAGTGAGACATATGCTAACAAATACAACTCACAGCTGTGAAGGGCACTGCAACTGCTATGGCACACTGCTTATCACCAGACATGCAACTTGATTGCCCTGTCACTTACTATCACAAAAAAATTCTTGTTGCTTGCAGCATAGGCTTCATTTTAAAGTGCTTTTGACATTGTTCCAGTGCACTACTTAAGGAAGTACCTAGATGAAAAGTCCTAAGGAACAAATTAAATAAATAGTAGTGTAAAATAAATGAAGTGCTAACCAACACAATCTGTATAGCAGTTTGGTAGCCCCATTCATTCAGTATAAGCTGGTTGACCCCGGCCAGAGCGGTCTCAATGCAGGTTTTGTCGCCTTCTTCCAATTGTGGCAGTTTCGTGCGTATGCTGTCATAATCTCGCGTAAACGGAACGGACACTGAAACAACAAATTGTGTGTCATATTTATCTTGAACTAAGTTACAACTTCTTTATCACTCCTGCGGAATAAAGCCGCGCTTTGTTTACAAGAGTGAGAAACGCACCTTTGGATAGGAGGCTTATAAGAAGTGGATATAAATTTTCAGTTCCACATTACTTACCTTCATAAAGTGAGGAGAAAGATACCAAAGCAACATATTCTAACTTAGCGTGAATACTGAGATAATCTAGAAAAGTGTTTATTGCAGCTGTGGCGATTGTAAATCGTGTATGAGTCTCAGTTGCGTCTGATGTAGGCACCGGCCGCGACATAGACAATGATACATCGAGTAGAATTACTGTCGGCATTTTTCCATTAAAATTATTTAAACAAATCTATTTGTTTATTTACAACAGCGTATAACCTCAAAATAAAGGAAACTTTTTTACATTTTGTCTGTCAAAATAATGCGTTTACTTTGTACGGTAATCGATTAGTACCCGAAGTTAAGTGAGATAGCCTTCTACAACAGGAATCTCTCTATCTTTGTCTAGTATAACATGTTTGCTATATTTTATCACGCATGTTACGGTTCGACAGTTAGTTTTTTCACAATTAATTTTTAAATTTAAGTATTATTACGTTTTAAGTTTTGAAGGGTCGTATTCTAGAACTCTACTCAATGCTCTAGTCAGGATTTGAGTATGGTTTAAAGCACTCGAAATCATACTCAAGTCCCTTCCATTAGGGTCGTATTTCCAGTGCTTGAAATCATACTCAGATCCTGACTTGAGCATTGAGTAGAACTCTAGAATACGACCCTTAATCCTTTGTTGCTTCTTTAAGCTGATGGCTCTATAGCCAATGCTCAACAAATAAATAATAATAATAATAATAATTGCGGCTCGAGCTTAAATGATGGGAGTTACATTTTTACACGAATAAATTTTTAGTTTATGTATATTACGTTGTGCGTTTCTTGATTATTTGTTACCATTAAGCTGATGGCTCTGAAGCCAATGCTTTATATATAAATAAATAAATACTTAGAGGATGGCAAAGAACTCGGGGTTTTTGTAGTTACACTTATTCACAATTAATTTTTCATTTTAAATATTATTTCTTAGTAACGTTTTAAGTTTCATAATCCTTTGTTGCTTGTTTAAGCTGATGGCTCTGTAGCCAATGCTCAACAAATAAATAATATGGAAAAAAGAGTTTGGGTATGCTCACTGGTTTGGGTAATTTTCAGGTAATTTTTTTGTACCAAATTGTAGCAATTTTTGTTATTTATGTATTCAAGTAAATAATCGTGAAATATTAAATAATATTTCAGGATACTACCCTCGAATATTAAGTTATATTTCAACATAATATTATTAATATTTAATTAATAAAAATTATCACCGAAATTAGGTAGAGAAACCTAATCTGAAAATTACCCAGCTAGAGTTTTCACTATTTTATAATATAATATTAATTTGTGATTTAAGTATTATATTATATTTTGAGTTTCTTAATTATTTGTTACCTGTTTGTTATTTTCTCAACCTTGTACTACAAATGCCTCAATACAATACAAATTGTATAACTTCATTGTAATAAAATAGCAATAAGTAAAACAAACAACCAAAAAAATTGAAATGTAACGAAATGCAATACCTACCTGAAATACTCTAATGTTTGACATAGGCGATATAATTAACCACTGCAACTGAATTTCTTAATAGTGCAATATTTATACCGGTGTTGATGGACAATGTTCATCATCAGAACACTCTAGAAGACCAAGTGGAGGTTGAGCCAGTATACTGTTACAATTTCATTTCACTTCCCTGGGATGATAGGACGTGTAAGAGCAAACTAGGAATTATTTTTCTACTGACAACCATATTTCTGGTCACAATGGGTTGTGTTACAAATAATTTCCTAATGCACTATCGGAAATTTGAACAAGGAAAGTTTTTGGTTTAGTATAGAATTAGCGAATTAAATTACTGAATTAGAGAAAAATATTTGTTTCCATGATCATTCTAAAAGCCGACTTACTTCAAAGTTCACATACGCTACATAATTATATTTAACAAGGGTATTTAATTATATTTAACCCTTTGTGATTGTAAAATCACAAGTTAGAGAATAATTAGATTATTCAAACTCGTCAGTTAATTAACAAACTAATCTCAAATTCAAGACAAGTAGGTATTATTGACATGTAGAATGGCCTCATGTGACAATGTAAGGGAACGTCTACATTATTTCCCCAGACGCTTGTAGTGCTGCAGTGGCGCGATTGTGGCGCCGCAGCTGCGCGTCCGTGCCAGTGTTGGGCAAAATTTAATTGTTCTGGAAATTAAAGATTGACAATTAATTAATTGTCAATTGCGAAACAGCAATTAACGATTGATCAATTGTTAATCGCGTATATCTACAATTAACAATTAATCAATTTTCAATCTTTTCAATGTTTTTGATTAACAATTAACAATTAAAACTAACAATTATGGGTGGGTTTTTTTCACTCACCACCAACCGGCACCCCAAACGGCTCCCAAATCGGCCCCCTAACCGGACCCCAACCGGCCCCCCAACCTGCCCCCAACCGGCCCCCC